CTAATATGACACAATATACACGACCGTTGTGTTCAATGGCTGGTTAGGTCATCACGGATGGATGCCTTGATGCTAAAATCCATCCGCTAAAACGTCTGAGGAAAGCGGATTTCCACTTAGTAACTATTGCTCTGAATGTTATAGTGACACTAAGTAACGTTTAATTGCAAAATAATATGAATACCTATCATAGATATTGTTATGACTTATGCATCGTATCGCATTTAGAATATATGTGTGCTACCGAAGACGTTTTAGCCTAGGTCTGTTTTATTATCCTTGGTGGGAGCATAGGCAACACTTTTGCTCCCCAGAAGATTTAGACACGCTTAATTACATACATTTCCACAAATATTGTTGAGTAGGTGCCTGCATGTTTATTTAATAGCTGAGGATGATACCAATACAGGGTGTAGCGGTTGCACAACTATGTACAGCCCTCTGCAGACTGCGTGGTAGATATTCTTTTTTCGACAAAACCGATAATAACTCAAAGGTTATGTTATCAGTCTGTCGGAACTCACTGCAAATAGATGCGCCATGCTCCACCCCTTCGATTAGGTCTATCAATAAACAAAGTATACGCCTTGTGTGGCATCAAAATGCAAAAGTTTGTTTTGGGGGCAAATATAAACTTTTGGGTTTAGTTGCCGAACTAGATGAAAAATGGATACGGTGATGATGCCAATCTAAGGGGCGGGGTCTAGCGCGTCCTGCTGTTACGATTTCCGAATGACCGATAACATAGTATTCGCGTTATTCTCATTTTTGTCGAAAAAAAAAGAATACCTACCACGCAGTTTGCAGAGAGCTGTACATAGAACGCACCAGCCCTTCAATCGGCAACCATGCCTATGCGGTTATCGGAGCTATAACAAATGTGACCCGGCAAAACTTACGGATGTTTACATGCATACTTGACTTTATACCTTTAAGACGTAGAACTGGCTTTATACATTTAAGACGTAAAACTGATAGTTGTGTATAGGCTAAGGGTAAAGTGGGGCAAAGCGCCCAGGGCGGGTAAAACGTCCACCCCTCTTATTTGTCAAAAGCTCGACTTTTCAAAGAATTATTGATAGTCATTCTAAAGAACACGCAGGAATTTGTTTCAGCTCCGTTTTTGGGTTCCACAAGTGGGATGTTCTGGACGTAAAATAAAGATTAGTATTAGTATGTTTCTGATATTTTTTTTAGGAATTACATGCTTTCTTACTAGTTACTGCTAAAACTTTGTCTGATAGAGATTAAAGAAGGCAATAAAGTTTCGTTATGTCAAGCTTGTAGATTTAAACTATGCTTTGAACACTTATTGGTTTGCAACACAATTGTGACAGGCTTGATTTTGGTTAACTTTGTTTTGAATGTGCTGTTGGGGTAATACGCCCACCTTGATGTGTGGTAAAAAGGGATGCCTTTTTATACAGACATCACCCGTGAAGCGGATATTTATTTATGTTACCGAACGTTATTTTTGGAAACGTTTCCGAAATTCGGTGTCCTCGGGTCTGTACAGGGTGGAAAGTAATTACGCGAACATACTTTTTCGTCTTATAGCAATGGAAAAAGCGGCGGTGACATGAAAATTTCATCTTTTCATATATTCCTATTTATGTACGATACACTGACAAAGGCGTTCAGGCATAATTGACATGAACATGTCAAGCACTGTTGGCCAAAGCTTAGTCCACGCCTCCTGGAGCTGTCTGGTGAGGCAATCGATGTTGGTGGCTACTAGCAGCTCTAAACGCTCTCCTGAAGAGTCGCCTGGATATTTTTGATCAAATTGAGGTCTGGGCTATTCCCAGATTGACCATTATATGCCCAGAAGAAGAACGGGCTCTCAAAGCACCAGTCTTGCGTCTTTTTGGCCGTGAGAGGAAGGACTTTATCAATCATGAAGAAGACTTTCTTGCGTCGGGCACAAAAGTGCGCTCAATCATTTTGCCCCTTTTGGTGCATTGATGGATTAGATAAAGAGACTGGTCTGGAAGGATGTTCCACTAGTTGTATACTTTATTTTTGGTGGCGTCACTACATGCAATTCTGACACCATCCGGGCGCTCATAACACGCTGATGTGTGTTCCTTTGCCGGATGTTTGAAGGTTGGGACGGGCGGGACGTCGGACGCATCAGGCATCAGCAGCCCCCAACGCGTTGTTCTAAAGGTTTGGCGGTCTTTAGAAAACTTAAATTGACAATCCTGCTGTTAATTCATGAATTTTGGCCATCTCGATTGTTTGTACGGCTTGATTTTCGAATTTTCACGGATTTATGTAGGAATCGTGATATCTTAGATCGGGTACTCGGCCAAAGTAAACCATTTCGCCTGTTTTCGGGTCGACTGTTGTCGTTTGGTCGCGGAAATGGTGACCACCCATTCGGCGCCTGAATTCGCCGAGGTTTTACTGCCGCCAACGGCTTTGCTTTTTTAAGTCCTCTTTTTTAAGTTTTATTATGCTTCACATAAGCGTAGGAACCATGGGTGCAAGGGTGCAGCTGCACCCACAATATTTATCCAGTGGGTGCAGACAATGTATTCTGCACCCACAATAATCTGAACCAAAAACCCCTTTTTCATCAACACTACTTCCCATGCAGCACGGCAAATTCAGGATATGTTGCCTACTATCCATCTTTCGAAGCATTTGCTACTGTGATCAGTGATGGTCTTCAAAACTTATATTTGTGCTGAAAAAGGGAAATGGAGCATGTGATTGAACACATACCGAACCGATGACCCACTGTCAAAATTTTAGCCCGATATCTTCAAAAATGGCTAAGTTGGCCGCTTTTACTTTTTGCGGTAGTCAATATTGACAATATTAGCCCTCGAATGTGTGCAGCGTTTTCCAGCTTCTAATGTGTAGGGGGAGGGGGAGGGGGTCGGTCGGACCCCCTGCCGTTCGGCCCCTGATCGAGCTAGAGCTTCGCGGAAAAAACGAGGGTGTTGCCCGTGACGAGAGGAAGCCGATGATACCCAATTTTAAGGTCCTACTTTATTGGTTGACCTTCCAGGTCAGGTCAATATTCCAAAAGTCGGGAAAATCGGGATCTGCTAGAACTGCGTAAAGTGAAGCTGTTATCGGGTTTTTCGGGGTGCTGATCACAAATATCTGATGTTAGTTTTGATCACAGATGATTTTTTCATGCATTTAGGCCAGATCGGGTCAGGTCAGGTCAGGTCAACCATTAGGCGTCCTACCGGCTATTCATAGTAGGTGTCAACCAGACATGTGCATGGATCCGAGTGATGGATCTATGATCTCAGTGGATCTTGAAGCTAAGTACAGGTTGGGATCTATGATCCCCCCCGATCCGGCATGAAAAATACATCTTGGATCTATGATCTCATATGATCTGACGATAAACTAAGAACATGGATCTATGATCTGAGTGGATCCCACCAGGCACTACATTTGAAACCATGTTTTAAAGGGTTTATATGCCAATAAGTGACACAAAACTATGGATTATGACGAGCGATCACATAAAATCACTTAAACAGAACGTTTGTGAGTTGAAACAAGTGATTTTTTGGGATATATGTGTTGACAAAAAATAAGTGAGGATCTATGATCTCACTGGATCTCAAGCAAAAAATGAGACTCGGATCTGGGATCCCTATGGATCTCTCGATAAATTACAGAGCTGGATCTATGATCCCGTCGGATCCGAGATCAGGATCCGTGGGATCAGATCCGAGATCCATTTTCTCGGATCCATGCACATGTCTGGTGTCAACTACCACTGACGGCGTCGTAGCATGTCACGAAAGCACTAAAACTACTTCGTAAACGTTCAAATGGATGCTAAATTCGAAATCAGCCCTATAAACTACCCTAGAAACATGTAAAACTCGAAAAAGTGAACCGAGGTCATCAAAGGTCAATGACCTGACCTGACCTTCAGGTTATCTTCACACCCACCGTGAAGCATGGGAAGAACATCATTTCACATGTTTGGACGTCTACAATCACAAAAAGACTGGAAACGCGCGGAAAATGTGAGCTGACATACGCCAAATCGCGCGATTCCGGCCGAACAGGTCTCGAGAATCAGGTCACAGGTCAAAGGTCTTTTGGGTCAGGGTCATGAAATTTTTAGAGTAGGTGTAAAACTGATCAACTCGAGGGTACTAAAGTTTCGTCGCGATCGGCCGCTTTTTGCGCGAGTTATTTGCGAACAACCATGGGGGGGGGGGGTTCATCCGACCCCCCTACACATGCGAGGGTCAATGCTTCCAAATGCACTTATCGGTTGGTACCTTTTCGACATGGTACACCCTCAAAGCTCGACATGGTACACGAGCCTTCGCTCGGGTGTCGCCCCCCCCCCCCCACCCCCACCCCGCTTCACCGGCCGTGGCTGGATTTCTGCACCCATGCACCCACAATGTTCCAGCCGTTCCTACGCCCATGATGCTTCAACCAAACGTGTAATTGAGTAATGCTGGTGCTGAGACCGTTCCGAGTCCCTTCCGCACCAATCCAGCCAAAATAATCACAAACGCTTTCCCTGGCAACTTCAAATTGAGCTCTTTACCCATTTTGGTCTTGAGCAGCGTATGGCGTCAGCACCACTCGAAGCCGAGAGGTGTTGTAGACCTTCCAAGTCATTTTTCAAAGTAAGGTCACTTTTGTTAGATGAGGCGACAACGAACACGACCAGTCATGTTCCATAACAGCCCGCGCTCATACAAAATCTCCACTGACGGGCGAAATTGTAAGAAAATACATGTTCGCGTAATTACTTTCCACCCTGTAGGGTTCAAACTGGTAACACCGGCCATCCTATAACCAATGTAAAGTTGCCGACATCGTTACTGTAGGTGTCCTCAGAGATCGGAGGTACTCGGAATGAATCACCTGCAGGCTGCAGCGCCTATATCGCCTGCAGCATAATTGGCTATCACAAGTTTACATAATGTGGCCTGAAATAATAATGATGCTCGTAACACATTGATTGGATTCAAATGTTGACCGTGACCGTTACTTACCATAATCTTCTGGTTGTGGTCTGTCAGGTTGGCATTGAAATTCCACCTCTTCTTCACCATCTGGTTACAGTGAAGCTGATAGTCCTGGTTGAGTTTAGCAATGAAGTCGGCTGCCTGACGATCCAGCTGTGTGGCATCAGCTTCGCTGGTCATGTCATCTCCATCGCTGGTCAGGTCAGCCTCACCGTTGACTAGATCAGCTCCATCACCACTGGCTAGGTCAGCTTCATCAATAGTCGGTACGGCTCCATCGCCGGTCAGGTCGGCCCCATGCCCATCACCACTGCCAAAGTCAGCTCCATCGCCGGTCAGGTCAGCTCCATCGCCGGTCAGGTCGCCCCAGACCCGTCCGGCCAGCAGCGCGACCAATACCACCCAGATCCGCCCTACTGTCGCCATCACGGCGGCTGCTGAATGAGCTGTACCAGCCGACCTCGCGCAAAATAAACTATCGTCAGCCACCGCACCAGTGCCACCTGCTGGCGGTAACCGCAAATTTGATCAAAATCCATATCGCTGTTATATGTGAGCCCGAGGCAGAGTGACGGCTTATACCTAACAGGAGGGCCGACGCACTGTACCTAGAAGCTTACGGCATGAATTAAAGTTCCAGCGGCAGATAATAGACAATAAAAGGAAAGCTAGCCACGAACGAACCCGATGGCCTTCGCTACAGCCGGTCGTTGCTCTCCAAGTTTATCGACGGGAGAGCTGTTGTGCTTTGTTTGTGGTCTCTTCCCATGCATCGCCAATCGCCATCACTGATAACCAACTGATGACTGAACACTTTGTCTGCAGCATCTGTCAGCTGATCGTAATGAATGCAAACGAATAGGTATATTGACTTCTGATGCGGTCATTAATACTGCGTCGGTTACTGGAGTGGAATCCGTTATCCGATCCTATGGTAGGGGTCGCGAATCCCATCTTTTATGTCCGCCAAGGTATGCCTAGGATGTGGCGTTGATAGGTCAACACCTCGGAAAAAAAACTTGTCGAAATACGTTAGGTTGGCGCTGCCATTGCTGACATCACTTGATCATTGGGATATTGGCCCACAGCCGGCATAAATAATAGGTAGGTATGTACGTACTTACCGAACGTAGGTTTAGCGAAATGTAGTGGATGACGGACCACGGCACGTGACAGGCCCACCGCCCATGTTCCGTGCGGCACTGTTTCGCCAGCTTCCAACTGTAGGCTGACCACCCACGGGCGTCCCGAAGTTTATAGGGCTGTAAATTGTAATGGTGAATTTGAGGATGCTAAAGCCATTCTTGCCATGCACCGCTATAGGGTTAATGTTAAAATTCTGACCTTGGTAGAGCTCGGGCCCTCCCAACTCCCAAGCCTATGCAAAACGACACCCATGAGACCTTCCTCAAAAACACCTGCAGACTGATATAGCCCCGTCTCGGTGGACTGGCACCGGCCCGCTATCACCGCTTATCACTGCAAACTGTCGCGGCAGCCGACCTGACTCTCCGCGGCCCTGGATTGTACCATTTTCATTTATTCTGTTTACGTTACCAGGTGGTGGTGCCTCGATTTAAGCATCAGCTTTTGCACCACCACCTGGACTATTTGCTTATTTCCATTTTATGTCTAATAAATGTGTTTTGTTGTTGTTGTTTGTTGTACGGCAGATCCAAGGGCGCAACGTCCGTATAAATGGACGGTCAGGGCAGCTGGTAGGTAAATACTCCTCCGTCCCATCGTTTCCATCCTCAGCCTACTGAAATCCTTCCCCTCCACGGCCTCTCCCGGCTCTCAGGCATAATATGGTATCGAGGGCCATGCATATGCATAATATGGCCATGCATAATATGGTATCGAGGCATAATATGCCATGCACAGGGGCACCGCCAGCCTCGCACGGGCACCTTGGGTCTGTAAAGGGCTCCACGGGCCTGTCGGGAGCACTTTAGGCTTGTCAAGGGCACCACAATCCTGCCAGGACCCAGGGGCACCAGCGGCCTAGCAGGGGCACCACAGGCCCGCCATAGGCACCACAGGCCTGTCAGGGGCACCACAGGCCTAACAATGACACCGCAGGCCTGTCAGGGACTCCACAAGTCTGTCAGGGGCACCTCAGGCTTGTCAGGACCCAGGGACACCACAGTCCTTCCAGGGACACCACAGGCCTGTCAGGCCTATGGAGCACCAGAGGCCTAACAAGGCACCACAGGCCTGCCAGCGGCACCAACGGCCTCGCCAATGAGACGTTGCAAAGCATTGCAATGCAATGCCTCTTAATAGTTTGGCTGAGACCGCTATACAGTATACACAATAAGGTATCTAGCTAAATTGGTTTTCGTGATAACTCCTTATTTGTGACTATAGGGTGTTCACTAAAAATTGACACAAACTTTGAATGGCTGCATATCAAAAGTGAAGCAAGCTATTACGATCCAACTTAGCATAGAGATAAAAGGGACGTTTTTATCATACCGAGCATAAAATTTCACGGATGTAATGAAAACAGTGGCGTTGGAGGTCGTTTTAAACAAGGACTACCAAAAGCCAGTTGGCAGGCTTTCCCAAAATAGCCGTCAATGGGAGAGTTTGACACGTACAAATACCTAATGAAAACTTAAAATGTCAAAATTAGTTACATACCGTACAGTCGGACGAAAGTTCTAGAGGGTGTGGTAGTCCGAAAAGCTGAAGTGGTGTAATTGTGAAGATATTGACCTGAGGAAGGGTCGGGGCCCCGAAAATGCACGTGGAGGGGCTTTTTGACACCTCACGGCGCAATGCTGCTGATCAGTAAGGTATTAACTGTGCCTAAGCGAAGAAGATATATCACACCTGAGACTAGGCTGAGTTACACCCGGCGCAAATGATTTCTCGAAGCGACTGGGAACAACATAAGGCCAGAGCAGTAAATATGCTATGGTCAAAAAAGGGACAAAAAATGCAGAAAAAAGTTAAACTATTTAAGGTAGAAAAATCATATTTTTAGTTAAAGGGCGACAATTAACTAGACAATGGAGTGTTCTGTTGTGATGTGATCGATGATACAAGGGCTAACGTCCAATTAAGTGTCAGCATGCAAGCTAACGCTGGATGCCGTGGTGTATGTGTTATTTCAGAGAATATCATCAGCTTGACTTTATTCCTCCATACTGGTCCTTTACAATATGATACTTTTTGAGCCAAGTGTATTATTAAGCACTAGAGGTTCATGCAGAACAACATATGTAACCAGAAGGTGATGTTCTGGTCCGACCTCGCGCCAGCACACTGACCAAGGGGCGCCTTGAGGGCCCCGGCCGATGTAAAAATTCCCATTGGAACGAGACCCGATAAGCCATTTTCCACGTCCGAAATTTAACAAATGAGTGTATAATGTGATTTGTCTAAGGCTGTAACGCATGTTGGTGTCTTTCGATTTCATACAAAATATCAACTGGTTGCTCATTGCCACCATCAACTGGCCAACATCACGGTCCACTGGTGCCAGAGCTTGTGACAACACTTCCAAGGAAATGTAAAAAAATGACCTATGGGGATCAGGCAAATCTGTTGACGCTCTACGACTTGCAGCAGATGCAATGTGCATTACAACAATGCCTCGTTTGTTTAAATCGGTTCATTTTTACCGAACATACAGCCTGCTAAACTTTGTCTCAATTTTTAGTGAACACCCATTATACTAATGCCGGTTGGGTCATTTATGACCCATGCTTATAACTTGAGAACCGATGGAACAATTTTTTAAGCTTGCACAGTTTTCTTACTGGGACCCGTGTGGCCAACGTTTGTTAAGGACAACTTAAGAATAAAAAAATAAAAATTCCGGCATTAATGGGTGAGAGAGAGAGAGAGAGAGAGAGAGAGAGAGAGAGAGGAGAGAGAGAGAGAGAGAGAGAGAGAGAGAGAGAGAGAGAGAGAGAGAGAGAGAGAGAGAGAGAGAGAGAGAGAGAGAGAGAGAGAGAGAGAGAGAGAGAGACAGAGAGACAGAGAGACAGAGAGACAGAGAGACAGAGAGAGGTATCAGAATTTACTTGTAAAAACACCGCTTATCATTCAGTACCTATAATGTCAAGGTTGTGAAAAACCGTTTTAACAACGTGTTGGCGACCACCAGCTGACAACATGAACAGTCCTAGTGTTAAAACATGTCAAATTTAACGATGAAATCTGAAAATGCGCATTGGAAGTCAACGGAAATGCATTATATGGCCATATATGTCACCATGCATTTTCAAAATATAATGTTACAAGTGCGCGGTTGCTGCAACGTACCAATAAAACGTTGTCACAACGTTTTACCACAACTTTAGGACCAAACCATGGCTTCACAACGTTCAGAACGTTGCTAGAACGTAATTAAAACGTAATTTCGCAACTTACCGAAACACGACGTTGTGACAACGTTGTACTAACGTTTCCTGTTAGCTGGGTTACCATCGACACTAGGCAAGGAAAATCCACTTCTGCGTGGATTTGCCCGAATAAACGCTATTGCTATTGGAAAAGCGAAAACGTTTTAAACTGCAGATAAAGGTACTGTTTTCTGACAAACGACTACAATTTTCACCTTAGAGGAGGCCCCAGAGGCGAACAGTAGGCCCTCTTATGAAGGGGCCCCCTACTTCGGCTTGCCACCCCTGGCAAAAATCCGTGGCGCCGCTCCGTGGCAAAAATCCGTGGTGCGCCCCGATGCCCCCCTCCCCCCGTTCCGCCGCCTATGAATAACCCAGCTAACAGGAAACGTTACTACAACGTTGTCACAACGTCGTGTTTCGGTAAGTTGCGAAATTACGTTTTAATTACGTTGTAGCAACGTTCTGAACGTTGTGAAGCCATGGTTTGGTCCGAAAGTCGTGGTAAAACTTCGTGACAACGTTTTATTGGTACGTTGCAGCAACCGCGCACTTGCAGCATTATATTTTGATAATGCATGGTGACATATATGGCCATATAATGCATTTCCTTTGACTTTCAATGCGCATATTCAGTTTTCATAGTTAAATTTGACATATTTTAACACTTGGACTGTTCACGTTGTCAGCTGGTGGTCGCCAACACGTTGTTAAAACGGTTTTTCACAACCTTGACATTATAGGTACTGAATAATTAGCGGTGTTTTTACAAGTAAATTCCGATACCTTTCTCTCCCTATCTCTCTCTAATATATATATATATATATATATATATATATATATATATATATATATATATATATATATATATATATATATATATATATATATATATATATATATATATATATATATATATATATATATATATATATATATATAATATGTGTAATAACATGTGTAAATTGCAAAGCGTCATTGGCATGTTTTGCAACATCACAGGCGGAGCTAGAGGCTTGCAACTATCCCTATGTAAACGCGGCTGTTATCCGCGGCTGCCAGCAAGCCACGCGGGCCGCCACTCAGGCGAACGGTGGC